ACTGTCCCTGTAAAGCCAACCCCCAGCCCAAGCCCACTGCTTCTACTCAGTAAAGAACAATTATTTCTTAGATCCATTTACTTTATTTAACAAACAAAGTAAAAATGGAGAACAGGAAAAAAAAGGTAACCTTGGGGAAAAGGGGTTATAAAGTTGGAATGAGAGAAACATTTTCATCTGTGTAATGTAACACCTCATTCCAGACCATCAGAGGGCTGGGAATGGGTGCTTCTGTTCCTTGTACCGTCCCCCGGAGTTAAGTGAAAGGGATAATGGACTTTTCGCCCACACCTCATGGAACGCTTTGGGGAGTGTGATTCTGTGCCAAGCAATGCTGGCTGGCTGTCCACCAGAGTCTGCAGAGGGACTCGACCCTACTTCTGTTCAACCAAACACCACAACATGTCTGCTTAGTCCCTCATAATCTGAAGTATCTCATCCTGCGCCACATGCTCTTGCTCATTGGAAGCTTTCCTGCTCTCCATGTCCATGTCTAACTTCTTGGACAGCGAAATCCTCCATGCTCTTAGCTCTGTGTCAGCTATCCCGGAGGCATTCGTTATCTTGGTGAACATGTCCTCCCACGTTCTCTTTCTCCTCCTTCTAATCAGTGAAAGTCTGCTTTCAGGTGTTGATGACATGCCGAAGGACACATTTCCAGCTGTCAGTCATGGGGAAAAAATAAAGGAGTCATTTTACATGAATAAAATGTTTCCATAGCAAGGCCGTTTTCATAAAAAACCCCAACCCTTATTACACTAGGTGCAAGCCGTTACAGAATCAGAACCCGTAACCGTTCACTGTGCCGTTTTGCTGCTCCAGCCCTGGTGAGTAGCCGCCCCCCCCCCCCGGCTCATGAGTGACCTCACTTTTAATGAAGTTTATGGAAGGCTCATGTCAGGAGCAAAGGTATCTAGTCGAACAATCGCCCTTCCCCATAGCATCACAGGAAGCTGTTTACGAATGGCGGGAGGGGGATCATTTTCACTCCCAAATTGTGGAATCTCTCATGAGGGGCCACAGTCCCCTATCAGCCACTTTAAACTACTTGGCGACCCATGCCAAGCACAGTAAAGGCACATTAGCGCCCGTGTGGTTTGGCAATCCGGAATGTGCAGAGGTGGGGTAGGTCTACATGCCCTTTGTTTTTTTTTTTCCCTTGTAAGAGTACTTTTAACAAGAACTTTCCCTGTTTCCCCTAGGCAACCCTATGTGATATCAGTCTCCTGAGGATAATAGAGGCAGAAAGGAAGTAGATGCTGTAAGCGTCTGGTTATAGACCCGGTCCTTATGCTGCTATGCTGTGTACTGGAATAATGCCAGCAGAATTAATTCAGGAGTTGCATGGGAAAGTGTCCTACCCTGGTGGAAGAAATAAGACTGCCCTGAGCAGAAACCTGCATCAAAGGATTGCATAGTATCTCCATGAAAGTTTCCTAGAAATATCCTGGGCTATCCCAGTTCACATAAACAGTCTTTTCTGGAATGGCCTCTTGTAAGCAGAGAGCCACAGTACCTCACTTTTTCTTCACAATAAACGTGCAATCCACCGAATGTGTGTCCCCGCTCAAGTTTAACTGGACTTTGATTGTAACTGTATACTCACCAGAGGTGCCTTCCCTGGCATCATGGTCAGCCACTGTAATGTCCTGCGATCCACAGGGCTCCAAGGTTAAAAATATTTCATGGCTCTCGGGGAGAATGGATCCATTCTCCTTCTCCTCCTCCTCTTTCTCATTTACCATATCGTCGTCCTTGTTGTCCCTAGACTCTCACAGCTGTGAGGTGTCCACGTTGCTTGTGGGAGTGCTGGTAGGGTCACCCAAGAGAATCACATGCAGCTCATTGTAGACCCGGCATGTGTGGAGTTCAGCACCAGAACAACTGTTCACCTCCCTTGCCTTCTGCTACACTTGGCGAAGTTCTTTTATTTTCACACGGCACTGCTGGGAGTCCCTCGCATAGCCCTTCTCCCCCATTCCACTAGTGATTGTTGCATAGATGTCAGCGTTTCTTCTGCTGGATCGGGGCTCTGCCTGCACAGACTTTTCTCCCCACACAGCGATGAGATCCACCACCTCCTGTGCAGACTAGGCTGGAGCACATTTGGGGCATGTAGTCTCCATGATCAGCTGTGCTCAAGCTGGCATGTTCCCAATGTTGATAGTACAGAAAATGGGAAATCAAAAATTCTTGGGCCTTTAGCAGGGGAGGGGCTGTTTCCTGTATACCTGTCTGCAGTGCAGCAGAGTTGAGAATGATCTCCGGAGTGGTCACAGATGAGCATTGTGGAGGCCAATTAAGTCGAATTACACAACACTGCATGTGCGCTATCTCGCAGTCGACCCATGAAAATCAAATTATCACTACACCTCTCACAGAAGTGGATTATAGAAGTTGACATTAGAGGCACCTTAGGTCGGCAAAAAGGACCCATTAGTGTAGACACATACATTAATAGGTCGACTTAAGGCGGCTTCCTTCAACCTAACTTTTTAGTGTAGACCAGGCCTCAGAAAAGAGCTTCATACCTTGTGTTGAAACTACATCTATATTGAAATGATAGCTGGGCACTTTTAGCAAATGCTATCTGCAGTTGTGAAGCATCTTTTTTTGAAAAAAGAAAAGGAGTACTTGTGGCACCTTAGAGACTAACCAATTTATTTGAGCATGAGCTTTCGTGAGCTACAGCTCACTTCATTGGATGCATACTGTGGAAACTGCAGCAGATATTATATACACACAGAGATCATGAAACAATACCTCCTCCCACCCCACTGTCCTGCTGGTAATAGCTTATCTAAAGTGATCATCAAGTTGGGCCATTTCCAGCACAAATCCAGGTTTTCTCACCCTCCACCCCCCTACACACAAACTCACTCTCCTGCTGGGAGGAGGTATTGTTTCATGATCTGTGTGTATATAATATCTGCTGCAGTTTCCACGGTATGCATCCAATGAAGTGAGCTGTAGCTCATGAAAGCTCATGCTCAAATAAATTGGTTAGTCTCTAAGGTGCCACAAGTACTCCTTTTCTTTTTGCGAATACAGACTAACACGGCTGTTACTCTGAAACCTATCTTTTTTTGAATAACCCTTTTAATCTATTTTGTTGTATGCTTGGGTGAGAGGTTTCAGTTTTCAAAAATGATGATCAATTATTTCTCCTCATACTATCTTTTTGATGGAGTATCAGTGCACAGGTTCACATTACGAGTGCCCTAGATAAACAAGGAGTCCTTAAGCGCAAACGGCACATAAGCGATCACATATGAGCATAACATAATGAATGGAAATGAAAAACTCGGGTTATTGCATTCTCTTGCCAGTGACTATTATTGCCCACACAACAGTGGATAATCATGATGCCAACTTTAAAAAAGACAAAAGATGGAAGGTCTAAAACAGCCTCCCCCATCCTCCTCAAAAAAACCTTCCAGTCTTATCGAATTAACCCCATGATGAAGACTGGAAAACAAACTAAAGCCTCCAGGCTAAACAGCGAGCTGGACCTCCTGAGAGGCGTATCCTGAAGGCACAGGCTGGGGGGAGTAGACACAAAGGTGACTTTTTAAGTTATCTTTGTGCTGCCCGGGTTCTGCCTGTGCTGGGGAATAGTGTGCCTCCTGATATAATGCAGTCTCCCCACAGTTGCCTAGGGTCTGCTCCTCTGTCTAGAATGGATAGGTACTGACTTCCTCTCTACCCAGGAGGTGGGGGTGTGCTCCACCTCCCACCGCCCAGGCCTGCCCCCACTCCACCCCTTCCTCCAAGGAACCGTTAAATAACAGTCAACATATTTAGGTGCCCGAAATATTATCCCTAATTTTGTGCCATACTTCTCAGAAGTCCATCATTTGAAGGGACATGATTCATGTCCCAAAATTAACTACCTCCCACACAAATTGGGTGTTCTCTCACATTAATTGTTCAAAATTATTTCCATCACAAATAAAGAAGAGGGAAGCAAAGGTGTTAGGGCTCCCCCCGACACACACACATACACACACACTAAAGGAATTGAATCCCACAATAGTTTGTTTCCTGCATGAATAATTTTTTCGTGGACCTCAAAGACTCGAAGTCTTTGTCAGCCATTGAATCCCACATTTGGGCCTCGGCAGGTTATGTTTTCTTCCAGTTTCCCCATTAATAATAACAAGGTCAATAATACTTTATTTACTAAAAGCATAGTGGTATTGTCTATAGGAGTACAGTCGAGTGACGCAAGCTGGAACTTGTGAAGGTGAGGAATAAAGTCTGCTGACAGCATATTTCCTACTTGTTAAAATAAAAAATAAATGGTAACGCATGGCAATTTCCTGCAATGTACTGGACAAACCTTACTGAATAAAGAGTAATGATTGGGAGCACCAGAGGGTGGTTGTTTTTTTTTTTTTTTTTTAAACAAAATTAAAAAAATCGTGAGGGTGGAATCCTGGGGGGTTTAGCTTTTGCTCTGTGTATTTGTGGATTGAGAATTGGACAGTCACATTTTTATACAATGATAAATAAGAATGATGATTATACTTTTATTATTGAAAAAGCAATGCCTAGTATTTCCTATATACAGATTTAACCACTGGGACACATCTTTCAAATAATTCTGGAGGTGATGCAGTATAAGGCCCCAATGCTGCCAAGGACTCCATGCAGGAAGACTCCTGTGCCCATGTGAAGCCCCACTGAAGTTAATGCGGCTCCACACAGGTGCAAGGTTCTGCCCTTTTGCAGAACAATGAAGCCTGGCTGACCCGTCTCTGCATAACTGATGTATTTCAGATGTCCGTCTTTCCTAAATAAACTTTTATAAGAACATTTAGAAATCTTTTCAACCATGAGGCAACCGTTTTGTTTCATTATGTTAATACTTTAAGGGCATGGTATTCTGTGTGTGTTGTAGTGTTATAAGCTTCAGATGAGTTAAATTATGCATTTAAAACACCAGAAAATAGCAGCAGCTGTCTTTCCAGTTGTAATGGACTAAGAAACTCTCCTACCTGTATTGTAATGTTTGGTGCAATAACATAAATCTTTCTCTTCTTTCAACAGAAACTGTGGTAGTGTGAGCCCTTCTGCTACCTGTACAGCTCCCTTTTCTTGCCATTCAAAAATTAGATCGTTCATTGTATATCCAACTAGAAAAACAAACAGAACAACAACCCATAAATCTACTGCAAAGTTTTTAAAATACGTGTGATGCACCAAATACCAATATCCTACACAAATTATATGAGACGAGAAAAATAGTAGGTTCCATTATATCGGTCAGCCAAAGGGGATCAGCACTCATCTCAATCAAGCCGATCTAGGCTGACAGTTATTTATGTGGATCCTCCTGAAAACATATGGCCAAATAGTTGGAGAGGGAGATTTTCAAAAGTGCCTAAGGAAGTTGGATGCCTAACTCCCTTGGGTGCTTTTGAAAACCTCACCCTCTCTTTACTATGGAGAGAACAGGCCCATTGATTTAAATCTTGTGAAGTTGTAGTGTAATTTTGAAATAGTGCCTTATATGCTCTTTTATTTTTCCTGGATCTAAATTGCTTGGAAACAATTTAGGCCACAATCAGGTGGAGGTATACAGGTGGAATCCAGCAGGTCTCTTTGCAGGACTAAGGCTATAGTTGGTTTGAAAAGACATTTTTGTTTTGAAGCAGGTGCAAGACCAGAAGAAAAACTATTGAGATTAGCTACCAAATCACTATCAGACTGTGATAATGTTCCTACATGCCTGCCTCCCTATCCTCACAGCTGTATGTTAAAAAAACAAACAAAAAAAGCCCCGTGTGTATCATAATTGTAGCTTTAGGAAGGTTCCTGTATAATTCAGTCCAAGTAGCTGTTCACACAGAATCAGTGGTATAACAATCCGTGTCATGGCCAGACAGTGGAAATATTAACCCAGGGCCAGATTCTGGCTGATTGGTCAGCAGGTGGCTAAGTTGAGGGAGAGCACAAAGAGCTACACATACAAACCATGCCTAGTAGCAGTCTGGAATCTCATGGGAGTAAACAGCCCCTACTCTCTCTGTGCACTGCAGGTGTTAACTTTCTGAAGGTAAGTGGGGAGGTGCAAAATATGCGTGGGGGCATGTTCCTGTCATTTCTCCCTCCCCTCACCCCCTTGTTCCAGAACTGGCTGGAGGTGAATCTAGGAGCATGTGGTACCCTCTGTGAGGGCAGTGGAGTTACTGCTCCAGCATGCCCCAGGAGCTGCTAGAAGGAATACTAGTAGAATTCCTGCTGGGATTTCCAACCAGAGAACTGAACCCTCCAAATCCCCCCCCCCCAATGCTGAATTGTTCTCTAAATTTCCTTCTAAGGAGCTGATGGAGTTCTCATGATTTTGAACTCTGCATGCTAACTCCCTCCTTCCCACCCAAAATCAAGTGTTTGAGAGTAGCCTTTCCCAAAACCTAACAGCCTTGAACAATAGGAAAATGGAAATTTGAACACAGATCCAAATTTCACAAGTGGATCCTTTCATTATGATGGACTGAACCACCAGGGACTTTAGGTGTTCAAACTCCATTCTGGCATCTGAATTATGTGGCTTCAACCCATTTCTACTTTTAAAAGTTTCTTAGCCTTTTTAGTATGTTGACTTAATCAGATGCAAGAAAGACAACAGGCTATTCACATCAACCACAGAGAATTGGAAAGGTCTTTTAATCTTACAATATATGTTCAAAATTTTCTTCTAGGTAACCCTTCTCTCCCAAACATTGAAATCTTCTGAGTCTCAGTCAAGGAAATTTTTTTAATTACTTCCTGATGTGTGAGAAAATCCATGGGCTCTGTCCCCTTCACCATTCAGTGACCTAATTACTACTTGTCTAAGTGTGTATTTCTAAACATTGCTCAGTTATAATGTAAGTCTGAGTTAGCAGCTGAAAGGAATGTCTGAGACAAACCACTTATTGTGTACTCTAACAATACAGTGTTCATACATTACACTAGTTAAATCCTTTTAACACAGTTTGCCATAATTCTCAACACTTCCGTGCCTCTACCTGTTCCTCGTGTTTCCCTTGGGCAGCATTGTATACAAATGCTCCACAAACACTCCGTGTCACAATTATTTGATTAATTTTTATCTTTGAGGGGTTCAAGGAGTGTGTTAAAGGAGAGACCACAACATTTTATTTGAAGTCGACACATTACCTACCCATAGTTAAGATTAGACCTCGTGTCATAGAGTTCATTTTATTTCTACATTACATTTATGATTAAACTCTTATTTTTCTGTCTTGTTTTACCACACATGACATTCTGTAACATAACCAGCTTTAAAATCCACCACTGATGGCTCAAAACTATGAAACCTCAAAACTATAGCTCCTATAAAACTTTGCATGAATTCAGACAAAAAGCATCTCTGTGTATAAACAGATTATCATTTGAATTATATACATTACAGCTAGGAGAAATATCCCCAGAGTAAGTCATTGAACTGACAAGAAACAACTGCTGTGTCAAAATGTATTTCACTAAATCAAATTCATTCATTTATAATGCATGTTTTAAATTAATATCTACCTTGGCCACCTATTTTTATATTATACAGTATGTTTAAAATATTAACAATTTATGCTAAGTGTTGATATATTTTTACTATAGTTTTTCTGTTTAAATATACAAATAATATAGCTTTGGCTTTTTCCAATTTTACAAATATAGTTTTATAGCTCTAAATTATATTTATAAGATAAATTATATATCAAAGTGCAAAAGGCCAAATGCAGAGGCGAGTCTAAATTCATGTAAAGGAATCTAAAATGATGGAATATACACAGTCTTCCCACCTCTTATCTAGACTAGATCCCTTACTAATATGTAACTTATACCCTTTTTATTCATTGCCTCTAAATTTGGTCCTCTGAGTTAAGGTTAAAATGGTGTAACTCTTATGTCATGGGGTGATAGGAAGGTACAAGTTATACCATCTCTGACTCTTAGATTAATTTATACTTGGTTTTGAATTTTGGCCAGTGAGCAGGGTACACTTTAGCAGATGCCCTTGTGTTGTTGACAGCATATTTCCTACTTGTTAAAATCAAAAATAAATTGTGACAGATATAGCAATTTCCTGCAATATACTGGAAAACCTTCCCGAATTAAGTTTAAGTATCTTACAAGTTCACTATATTAAAATGCAAATGTATCCCCCTGGTTATTCAAGATCTCAGCCTTTTGAAATTTTGCCATCAGGAGGGGATTTTTGTCTGCTGCTCACTTGTTATGTGAGGACAAGATCAGAGGCCCTAACTGTATAAAGGAGTGACTCAGAGAATCATGGGTGTGACTATTCTGAGCTAATAGCTTTTAACTTGTGACCACAGAAAAACCCCTTGGTTGGGTTTGAAGAACTGACTCCTACCAGAGTCCTTGTTGCAATTGGAATGATCTCTGGTATGCTTATTAACATGCATGTAAGTTTTTATTGTTTTTAATATGTTTTCTCTGTAACACTTTCACCTTAAGAGTGAATGTGCTTGCTTAGGAAAAGCTGGTAACTTATAACTGTGAGCAATTATGTTGCTTATAGCCTCTGAGGAGAAAAGCAAAGCAGGTTGCTCAGGCAGTCTGACTTGCTGGGGAATTTACAGTGCAGCCTGAACTCTGCAGTCTGAACATACGCTGGTCAGAAGGGAGAGAGACCTGTATCTCCATTCAAGAGAGGTGATGACTGGGTAGCCAGAAGAGGTGATGACTGCGGAGCCAGAAGCCTTAGAAAGGGTACCCTTGGTAAACCATAGAGGGGGAATACAGGTGCAGGTGTCCTGAACTGTGACATAAATAAATTGAACTTTTCAGTTTTGTTTTGTTTTCTTTTATTTACTTCAGAAATTCCATTTGCTAAGTAGTTATTTCTAGTTCAGTATAGCTCTGAACCTGAAAGAAAGGGGAGGCAGGAATAGTGACAGGAGGATCTGGTGTTATTTGTGGAGATGAAGCAGACAATATGCAGTCCATTTGTAAGAGTAAGTCAATTGTGCAAGAAAAAATCCAAACTCCAGAAAGAGGATTGTCCAGCAGCATTTTGAACATTAGGGAGCTAAAAATACCTAAATGCCTTTTGTCTCAGAATTCCTTCCAGAAGGAATAGTAAAGTAAGGGGTAGCTGAGTTTCCATGATACCACTACAACAAAAATATTCTTGAGCCTTGTTGCATTTTGTGAAGAGTTGCTGAAATGACAAAGGAAATAGAGCACAATGATGGTGACTAGGCTGTGTGTACTGGACGTGGAGGATAATATTCTTTTTAATTTGGGATATACCTATATCATAGACCTAGTAGTTGCCATTAAAATGTCAGAAATTGTAGTGTAATAGCACTCAGTTTAAGAACTCCTATGCCATAGTATTGGGTGTGGTGTATGAAATAAAACCCGATGTGTAGATAGAAACAACTGTAGTTACTGTGTGAGATCTATTTTACAAACATAGTCCCTAATTCTGTAAACATTTATGTATCTGAGTAACTTGAAGGACCTGAGTAGATATCACTGGGTTGAGTTCAATGAGACTAGTCACATAATTAATGTGACTCATGTGCATGTATTTTCAGGATTGGAGCCAATGTTTGTAATAATAATAATAATAATTAATAATTATAATTTAAAAAAAATAGAAATTCCAGTAGATGTGGCAACAGAGCAGGACTCCCTATAATGCACTTTGTATGCTCATTTCAATAAAGACATATTTTAAAAGTACACAGAACTACTTGCTATGCAGGAGTAATGTACCGTCTATGAATAGGAGTTATTTAAGCTAAGGGCCCATATTGGCACAAGAAGAAATGGGTTTAAACTGGCCATCAACAACTTTGGGCTTGAAATTAGACGAAGGTTTCTAACCATCAAAAGAGTGAAGTTCTGGAATAGCCTTCCAAGGGGAGCAGTCTGGGCAAAAAAACCTAACTTGTTTCAAGACTGAGCTTGATAAGTTTGTGGAGGGGAGGGTAGGGGAGGTTGCCTACGGTGGCATATGGCCAGTGATGAGCTGCCAAAATCTTAACATCTCCTCACCCCACAAGGGGATCGTTGCCCACCCCCGTCCCCCGGGACTCCTGCCCCATCCAACTCCTCTGCATTCCTTGGTGCCCGCCCCAGGACCCCTGCCCCATCC